CTCGGTCGTCTAGGAACGCAACGCGTTTTTCCAGAGAGACAAAGGTTTTCTTTTCTTCTCTTCATTTCCTCGAGCGTCTTCTCCTTCGCGGCGCCGGGAAACACTCCGCCTAAGAAGGACTTCTCCCTCACGGCGACGTGGGCGGCCGGCCGCCCATCCTGCTGACGACGCCCAGACCGGAGCTTGGGCCGAGCGTGGGCGCCGCGTCGCGCCCCTTCCCGTAGCCCGGGTAGCTGGCGGGGAAGCTGGAGTTGAACCTCCTTCCGTGGGCGGTGTTGGGAGGCGCGGGCGGCGCCGGCAGAGGCAGCGTGGGCGGCACGTGCGGGTGCTCGGGCAGGAGCAGGTACGGGGGCGGCGTGGCCTCCAGCACCCGCACCACGCGCGACAGCACGACGCCCGGGCTGCCCAGCTCCAGAGGGTAGCAGTGGGCGGTGGGGCGGTGCGCGTAGGGCGGCGTGGCGTGCGGGGGCGGCGGCTGGAAGGGCAGCGTGGAGGGCGCGGGGGCCGACGGGGGCGGGGACGGCCACAGGGGCGCCGCCGCCCTCGCCAGCTCGCTCTCGAAGGCCGGGTTGAAGGGCGAGACATGGGCGCTGAAGGGCCCCGAGGCGAGGGCGGCGGGCGGCGCCGGAGAGGGCGTGGGCGCGTAGGCGGGGCGGAGGGGCGTGGCCACGGCGTCGGGGTCCTCGGCGTCGGAGGCGTGGCGGTCGTACGCCTCCACCTCCTGGAGAGGCAAATGGGGGCGTTAGGAGTTGTGCGTTTTAATTACACCAGTGACGAGGATCACATTGAGCCCAAAAGCCAGGTAAAGACACGCCAGGAACAACACGAAAACATGTTGATGATTACCCATAAACAACACCAAACATGTCATCAACATGTAATAACATCAAAGCGACTAACATTAAAGTTAATGGAGAAAGTTCTCTTCTAATAACCAGAGACTCCATTTCACCAAGGGCGCAGAGGGAAGCTCAATAATCTAAATACCCTCACTTCTTGATGGATTCAGCCGCGACTGCTCTGAAAGCAAATGCAAATGCAGGTTTTACGATCAGAATTCTTTACCACTACCTCGCTGCCTCTGCATATAAGTGCTACGCTATTCACGGTGTACGTACATAAGCTGAAAACAAGATATATTACTCGTTGGGACTCAAATTGTCTGGGGATATCGATTCAGAATCCACAAACATTTGTAGATTTCTGTAGCAAGTAGGAGTATCACGCAGATAGTGCATAAAGATAAGTGATGAAACAGTGATAAAGATAGAACACGAAGATATGCACGTAATTGGTTAATACAAATATTCGTGAAAGATTATTGTATATGTGGATGTTCAGTTCTGAAATTAATGTCTGTGTGAGTTTAGGTTACTTTCATTGATCTTATAAAAATGCTATTATAAGTATAACAATAATATATATCATAGAATGACGATATGTATTAATAAAAAAATCGCAATGGGGTTGGCTTCTTAAAGTCCGATTTGTAATTTTACTTTCAGAAGAAATAATATTGATAATATCAGGCATAGTTAAACCATTTAGTAAAATATATCTATATATATAATAAAAATCTGTATATGGATTCAGTTTCTCCAAGTCCACTAACCAATTTTACAATCAGGTAAAATAAAAAGAACACTATCACATGAATCTGAAAATTGAAATAGTTAGACCATTAATAAACAATTCAGTAAAAACATCCTAAGCTTCAAAATAACTTCACAACTCGAACGAAAAGGAGAATTTGCTTATTAATAATTAAGTGGTCTGTCCCATGGTTATGTTTAGAACGGAAGCCCAATGTACGAGTTTCAGAACCATTATTATTAATATCATTATTGGATCAAGAGACTGGATTCGAAAAAAGAAGGCTATTGATATAAATAATAAACTTGATATAACAGTCTTTTTAGTGTTAATGTTCAGCGCAAACCAGGGACTGAACACAAAATGAACAAAGGAGAGACCAAATGACTGAAACCTGAAAGAGAAACTTGAGCCATAAATTCCCGTGACATAGAAGAATCAGAGAAAAAACAGACCGATATAGATATATATAATGATATAAATCTCTATCTGGATTAGTTAGCTCTATTTAGAATAAATATTTACCCTCCTCTCTCTGTCTGTCTGTCTGTCTCTCTCTCTCTCTTTCTTTCTCTCTCTCTATCTCTGTCTCTGTCTCTGTCTCTCTCTGTCTGTCTCTGCCTCTCTCTCTCTCTGTCTCTGTCTCTCTCTCTCTCGCTCTTTCTCTCTTCTCTCTCTCTTCTCTCTCTCTCTCTCTCTCTCTCTCTCTCTCTCTCTCTCTCTCTCTCTCTCTCTCTCTCTCTCTCTCTCTCTCTCTCTCTCTCTCTCTCTCTCCCCCTCTCCCCCTCTCTCTTTCTGGCTTTTGATATTATAAGACATTTTTGTAATTTACGAACGCGAAATGATGGCAGTGATTGCGACGCCAACTAATTGCTGAGCATGTAACTCTTACCTAAGTGAGATTGAG